TTTAAGTTCATAAAATTAAAAAGTAGCAATTTAATTAGAGTGCCGTCAAGTTTGTATTTTTATTTATTTAATTATTTCTTGTGTTTTAAATTATTTTCGTCTTAAATACTATTTTAACTGTATCATTCATATTTTAACCCTGGCAATGCCTAGGTAAAAATCTTTTATTTGATTTTATCTTCAAATTAATTATTAACTTCAAGAAAGAAATAAAATTCTATTAATTCTTAATAAAAGTCAATGATTGTAGAAGAATTAAAACATATATAGGAAGTTTTGGTATGCCTTGGCCTGAATGTGAGACGACTCTGACTTTTATGTTTTTCCTAAATTTCTTGGTTACAATTACTGCCTGAGCCCCCATTATTCCCCATTACTAGTATATGACTCTCTCATGGTAAATTTGAGATTTAACTGTTTCTTTATACCACAATAGCCTTTTGATGAACGCTTTTTTTAAAGTAAAAGTTATTATTATGTTAAAGTTAAAAGTTGTAGATACCAAAAAAAAAAAAAAAAATAGTTAAAAGTTGTAGTGGTTATGAAAAAAATTTAGCTTAAAATTTACATTCAAACTAAAAGTAAGTTATTTGGAAAAATAGCTCTTGTAAGATCTATTTCATAAAATAACTCTTTAAATAAAGATACATACACCCTTGTGAAATAGCCCTTTGAGTTTAAAACGTAAATATTGCATAGGATCATTTTTTTAGTTCTATGTAACAGTAACTTAATTTTATCAAACTTGTTATCTCATGATCACTAAGATTTTGGTACCATGTTAAGTAACCATCTCACTCGACAACTCAAATTGTTAAATGAAGATCCATAAATGATTTTATATTATATCTCTCTAATGAAATTTCCGTAAAGAGTATTAGAAATATTTATTATTTACATAAACACAAATATGATAAAAAAAAACAAAAGACAATCTTTAAAGATGAAGATTTTAAAGAAAAAAATAGAATCGAAAAAGAATAAAATACCATTTATTTTTTTATTTATTTTTTATTTATAACAAAATACCATTTATTTATCTTTATTGTTGAGTTCTCAATATTTTGGAAGGGAGAAGAATGACATCAAATGATTTGTTATTAAGTTAGAATTTTTTTTTTATAAATACAATTTTAGAATAAGGGTATAATCAGAAAAAAAATGTGTACTCAGAAAAAGTGGTGTACATATTAAAAAAAAGCTCCTCTTTGGAAATTCAGTTTTTTCTTATTTTATTCATTATAAAAAATTCTTTTTATGAAAAGAATTTTTATAAAAATAAATTTAGCTGATTTTCTATTTATAAGAAAAAGAAGTTAAAAGAAAAAACCGGCAAACAAGTACTTAATATATTGGGAACAAAAAACATCATGTCATGTAATTAAAAAATATTGTAATAGTAAAAAAAAATTTGTAACTTTATCTTGTATATAATTTAAAAAATAATGTAATAATATATTTTAAGTTGATTCTATTATATTATGCTTTTATTTTTGTATTACTTTTTTTAATTATGAGGAGTTCATTTAGTATTTTTATTTTTATTTTTCTCCAAAGTAAATTCTAAAGTTGACATATTTATTCCTTAATTGAATTATTTTTATATTATTTTCCAGTCAATTATTTTTAACTTGATATTTTGTAATGACACATGTTACACTCTTCATTCTGAATTTCTAATTAATTAACATCAAACTTTTCTAAATTGATCGAAGTACAAATTATTTAGATGCTCATTTGATGTCTTAATCTTTGATTTTTCTTTGAATTGAATACTAAATTGAATTCAAAAAATTACAATTAATCTTAATCAAATCTCAACTTTGATAATATTATATCACCATAATTTAGTATTTTTAAATTTAAATGCTGAGCACTATTTTCACCAGTATTTTTTTATCAATCAAAACTAATATTCATCTTAATATTATTATGTATTTTCTTATATTATTATCTTCTTAATTTCATTAAATTATAATTTTTTTTATCTAACACTATATAATAATGGAAAAATAAATCTTATGTTGTAGGAGAATTTTAACCTCATGTCATAGATACATCAAGTATGAGACCCACTTATTTAAAAAAAAATAAAAATAAAAACATGAGTGACACACCTTTTTATGGTGTGTGTAGGAAGGGTTTGTTTTCTCATGCAATATGAGAAAAACAAACCCCTGTAATAATATATTGGGAAAAATGTTTGTCTTTTTAAATGACACAACTTGTGTCATTTCACTCTCACAAAGAGATGAGACCTACACCTTTATATTTTTTTGTCCACTCTCTCTTCTCCTTTATCTATCTCTTTCACTCACTTAAAATGACACAACTTTATATCCTTTAAAATAATAGATATTTTTCCCTAATACCTTTTATCTGAATAGTTAGAATGCCGGTTCATCCCTCATTGGGCTTCTATTGTAGTTGCACCGTCACATCCACATTCATGGGCTCATCTCACTTGGATCCAGCGCTTAGGGGCTCCACACGTGATCCTCCACACGTGCGGGACCCATCCTCCACACGCGTCAAACTCTCACGCGCCACATGTGGGTCCCAAAAATCTGAGGTTGACTTTTGATAGATAGAGAAGGAAGCATCAACATGAGGAGCAATGGTTAGTCTCTCATCAAATGGGTCCCACACGCACTCCAATTCATCGCTAAACGACGCCGTGCAGCTAACGTAAACCTACTCTGACAGTCAACGCTCTTATAGGGTCCCCTATGATTTATTATTTGTTCTTTTTTCTTTTTAAACTTTTAATTTTGTTAATAGTGCCCTCTTATTGTTTTTGTTTGGATTCAATAAGTCAAAGCCATATAAGAACAAATAATTTCCTAACTTTAAAGCAACCCAACAGCTGATTGAGAAGAAGAAAGCGCATCATGATTCTTGTGTGTCTCTATGGATCAAAATGATGCAGAAATAGCCATATAATTTTGATTTATTTGCAGAGTAGATAGCACTAATTAAGAGGGGGTAGGCCTTCCTTGTCTATTTCTGGGTATGGGAATCAGCAACATTTTGTTCCTTGGAATTATTAGTTTTTTTTTTTTATATATATTTTTTAGTTTTTTTACTATGAAATTGAATAATAATACTTGCATGAATTCCTCACAAACCCATCACCGATTCTAAGGTGGGAGACATTCTTATATAAATTTAGTACACTTAAGTTTGGGGTAATATGCTAATAAAATATTGACATGTCATTAATTGTGGTAGTTAATCTTATTTCTCTCAAAATTGTAGTAGTTAAATTGATTAACTGTAGCAGTTAGTCATCGATTAATACTATTGATATTTTATTAGTCTAGTACATTAAATTTGGGTGTACCATGTTTATACAAGATTGTTTTCTTAGGTAAACTCATTAAACCATTCAAAAAAGTTTTTGATATAACTAAGAATAATCTACTAACTTAGACATGAGCATCTGAAGGGTACAATTAAAGTCACTCCTTTACTCACTTCATACTTTATTTACAATTTGGGTCAAATTCTTCTTGTTGTTGATAAAAGTATGCAGGTAAAATTCTAAGCCTATGAATTCCGGGGAATTTGCAATAGGCCTTCATAGAATAACTGTTTAGGTCTTTGGTTGGTTTTATGAAAGAAAACATTAACAATTAGTGGAAACTACTCTCTGTCTTTAGAGTTTACCATTTTTCAAAATTGTTGAGGAATTGCTACAAGTTTTAATCATTCATCTCATTAGTGTTTACATAAGGTTTAGCTAGTCACATTCTTCTAATTATTCTGCTTTCTACGCTAGAATTACTTCACCACCCAGGATGCAACTGAAAATTCTAGCCAATAGGAGCATTTTCTCCGCTTTAAATGTTATGTTTCTTTTTTTATTATTAATGAAAGTTTATAAGGAGTTGGACATTGATATCCCACCAGGGTCAGGGCAAATCTCTCAACCTCTTTAAGAATTTCTGTGAGAAATTACAGATTACTCACCAACAAGATTCTCCCAAAATGTTATGTTTATAATATTTTCAATTTAATTATTGGACCAGAGGAGGGTTATATTGCCAATTTTTTATTTTATTTTATAATCTAACAAATTACACTATGTCTTACCAGTAAAATTTTATTTAAGAGGACATAATATATTTGTAAGAATTTGTAAATAAAATTTGTAAATATAAAGCTTCAATAGTTTTCTTAATATTACTTTTTCATAAGGAGAATCAAACTTTAGTAGTAAGTAACCTACCATTTCAATCTATAGCAGCAAATAATGCAAGCTCACCTACCCTTATAAATATTTCTTCTGAGAAGAAGTATTAGAAAAAGAGTCACAGAAGTCAAATAACATCTCTAAATATTTTGAAGGTATATGATTAATAATTCTCAAAGGTTGACTCTTGCCTTGGTTGAAATGGGGTGGTCAAGTAGCATTTGTCTACTATGATGCATCTATCCCATCACATAACAAGACAAAATAAACATTTAAATGAAAACACAGCCCTACACAGATCAGTACTATAAAATTTTAAAAAATGTCAAAGCCCCTCATCTTTAATGACTCAGCACCATATCTTCTTGTATGGACTCCAACCTTTCAGTTCCCAAAATTAATCTAAAAGCATAGCCATATATCAAATTGACCAAGATCTAGTAAAATATGTGAAAATGAGATATTTCAAGAAGGAATGAAATTTACAATTGTTCGACTTACAACAAAAAAACAAAAGAGACCTCATGCAATTCAATGCTTAGATTCCATTTAGTTGATTACCACAACACATGCAAATGCATAGTAGAAAGGCCCCATCAAATAGAAATGGTGAGTGATGACACATTTTGCAGTTAACAAGCACTGTTGCTAGATTGTTTGGAATAGAAATCTCCAAGGAAGTCAACGTAGAATACATACAAAACATAGCCACAACTTCCTAACTTTAAAAGTCAAGGAGGGGTAACAAATATACTTCACAACCACCTCTTCATCTGCTCCACTCTTTCCTTTATCATTAGTCTATTATCTTCTTCAGCTTCCTCTTTCAACTGCTAAAAGGATCTTGTTACTTTGGGTCTAATAAATGGTTGAGTCAACCATGTCAAAGGCAATGATGGAGGAAGTAATGGCTACTTGGTCAAATGAGTCAGAGGATGACCTTGTGAGAGAGCTAATAGATGAAGAGTCTTCTCTTCTTATGCTGCAAGAGGAGGCAACAACTGAACCCAACACAAATGCTTCTTTAAGTGACCAAGCTTTTAATAGGTTCATCTCCAATATTAACTCAGGGCCTACCATCACAGATATTGAAAATGCTTTATCAGTCACCAAACAAAGAGAGCACTTCCAACAGCTCTCATCAACAAGGTATGAAAAATTCAATTTCCATTACTTCCTTTCTATATGGCTTGAGTTTGCTGAATTGGGGTCCCATTTGATGCAAGTTTCTGTTTCATTTCAGAGTTTCCATATTGGAAAGAGGTTTGAGCAAGATTGAAAATAAGTATACACTGAAAATCAAATGCTTTGGCAATGGAATGGGTGATGATGGATATAAGTGGAGGAAGTATGGACAGAAATCCATTAAGAATAGCTCAAATCCTAGGTAAATTCTTTCTTCTGATATATGTAGACAGGTGCACACAAAAAATGGAGCATTTCCCTTTACAGATTTGCTTGTAAAAAGCTGCAGAGATTTCCATGAACCTCTTCTACTATGCATATATAGTACTTTGGCAACACTTCTAAAATCTTTAACTGAAAGACAAAGGGACATAGGTTCTTAAACTTAACTGTTTGCTTCTCATGCAAAGCTCTTTTCATAAGCACTCCAATAAAAGTTATACCACTTTTTCCTCCCATAGATAAAGGAGAGTAATTATATGGCTTCCCTGCCAGGAAATGGATCAGCTCACCTAAAACAGTAGTCTTTCATTATTTTCAATTGATTATATCATTTGGAAATTTTGTCCCACCTTTATAATTTACAAACGGTTGCAACACAACCTAAAACATTCAGGTTGACAGAGAGAAACCGTCTCCCTTCAAAGAGAGATTAGTCTCACTCTTCCTCCGGTGACAGTAGTTCAATACATTCTCTGCTTCAATGAAAAGCTTGCGTTAAGGCCATACTCCGAGGACAAGATGGCTGGAGGAGGTTGAGTGGAGATACCTCCAGATTATCTAAAAAAAAAATCTGAATAAATGTGAAAGCCCCACAAAAATAAATTGGCTCATAGGTTTTCTAGACAACTAATATGCTTAGTAATTACTAGTTACTAACTAGGGATTTTCACAATCAGATGAGTGGGGCTCTTTGTCATTATATCCAAGAAAAGTGCATCTGATAGCCCTGTGATGTGTGATAGAGATGTTACAGAAAAGGTAAGAAGAGGATGAGGAATATTTACACGTCAGTAAGTTTCCTACGATATTCATGTCATAGCCAATTAGCCATAGATATGGCAAATTGGGTTGACAGTTGCAACACAAATTTAATTCCCTTAAACATTCAACTTTTCATTAAAACCTAAGTATCTTGAGTTAATTCACTTTAAGTTTTTTATTTTTATTCCATACCCTAGTTATCTCTTTAGGACGAGTCAAGTCCCTAGATATTCCTACGACCCCAACACGAAAAGAGATATGTACATGTATGAGAGTAATCCTGAATCAAGTAACATAACAACTATCAACTCTAATTCCAAAAATTCTCCTCAGGATTTGGCAATCAGTTTGGGTTTTCACTTCAATTTTTAAGAGTCCTATTCATTAAACCAAGTTAATTAATAATGCAAAATTTTATTGTTGATTACTAATTTTGAATCCATGGAACAGGAGTTACTATAGGTGCACCAACCCAAGGTGCAGTGCCAAGAAGCAGGTTGAGAGATCCAATGAAGACCCAGACACTCTTATCATCACATATGAAGGGCTCCACTTGCACTTTGCTTACCCTTACTTTCTCAATGGCCAACCAGACCAATCTCATTCCCATTCCCATCAACCAATCAAGAAGTCCAAGCCTACCTCTTCACAAGGCCAAGCCCAAGACCATAAAGAACAACATGTTCATGAAGGCCTGAATACTCAAGAAGCCCAAGAAGAAGCTCCTCTGGGCCTTGTATCATCCACTTTACTTGACACTCCACAAGATATGGCCCACGAAAATTTGGGCTCCCAAGGGCTGCTTGAAGACATGGTGCCATTCATGGTTAGGAACCCCACAAACAATACCAATAGTGCTTACTCGAAGTTTTCTTGTTCTTCGTACGGTTCTTCTCCAACATTACCTCCTATGTGGACTTCTGGTTATTCTACCTCCTGTTATACCATTGGCTTAAATTCCAGCACTTAGGTTATAATTAAATATGTATAGGTAAAGATTTAGAAACTTTAAACTTATTAAATTCTAGCACTTGTAATTGTTTTGTGTATGTGAATTTAATAATATCATGTAATAGTATAGTTTTTATGTCACACCATCCAAGGAAAGAAAGGCTCTACCATTTTACTCTCAAATTTTTATGATAAAATAACCACGGTTATTCCCAATGTTGTAAAACCCAAACCGATCATTGACCCGGCCAAGGTACTGGGTCAATGAGTCACTGGTTCAACCGTATGACTTGGTAAGTATATGTGAGGAAACATCTCATGGGACAACTAGTTTTACATAACCAACAAGATTTGCTTTCACTAAAGACTGCTGTAGATTGAGTATCGCAGGCATAACCATGTTCTGAAATTGACCATTGAAACTCGTAAGGAATGGCTCATTTCGAACAGCAACATACCTGTAATAAAAATGGCAAAGCTTCAACTCTTGGAAAGTGTTGCTGTAAATAGTATAGAAGTATCACATTGTGTATATGTCTTTGTATTTCTTATTTGGTTTAATATATAAATGAAATCTCCTTCGTGTAGTTGACACAAGGATTACAGTCAAATGCCTCTTGTATTTCTGATAGTTAACATGGTATCTAGAGCCTAACAAGAGGAATCCTAATCCGCATCTTTCTGGTGAACCACTGTCCGCCGAGTAAATTTTTTTTTTTTCGGAAACCGTCATATCTGTCCGTTTCCGGCTTCCTTCTCTCATCTAAGAACCTATCGGAACTCTCTCGCTATCAGAAACCATCGTTGACCGCCGCTGGCCGCCGTTGACCGCTGTCTCCGATGACTTTTCTGGCAAATTTTCCGACGAAACCCCCACCGTTCGAATCGTCTCAACCAGGCGGTCCTTCCTGTCCAGGACCTATCGCCGACAACTCAGCCACACGCTCTCCCGCGCGTGAGAAAGCCGCTAAAGTCCGCTCCCTTACAGCGGCGCGTGGAGGAGCGTGCAACTCCAGCTGGACTTCCGACCACCACGGTTCACCTCGTCTCCTTCTTGCGCACCTGGATCTGCCCTCGCTTTGTTGTTACGACTTTGTTTCGGCTTCCTACTGTGTCTTTTCCCTTGTTGGTTACTGTTCACACTTGTTTCTTTGCTTCTCGTTGCTGTTCATTTTTGTTTCAGGTGAACTATGGCTGATTCGTCACTCTACGATGCATCCAAGGGTTCTCAAAAGAATGACACGCCTGTTTTTTCCAATTGTGTTAATGTTCTGTTTCACGTCGACAAGTTGGATGGCACCAATTATGATTCTTAGGCTTCTGATCTCCGACTTTGGCTTAATGGACAGGATTATATTGACCATCTCATTACTAAGGGTGAGTCCATCTCGGTAGATGTACGCCCTCATTGGAAAAAGGTTGATGCTCAGTTATGTAGTATCATCAAGTCTACCATCCACTCGTCGTTGAAGCAAATTTTTCGTGCTCTTGTCACTTGTGAGTCTGTTTGGCGTCAGGCCAAGTCACTTTACACCAATGACACTCAGCGACTCTATGGTGTTTGTCAAAATTTGATCACTACTATTGCTGCTCAACACCTTGATGTCTGTATGTCTTCTTATTTGGGAAAAGTTTAGGGTATCCTTCATGATTTCAATGAACTTTTGTCGCCTGCTGCAAACCCTGCTAAGGAACTTGAGCAACGCAGCACATTCTTCATGCTCATGGCTCTTTATGGCTTGCCCCCGAAGTACTCTGTCAACCGGGATCAGATCTTGGGCTCTCCTACTGTTCCATCCCTGGACTCTATTTGGTCTACATTGCTTCGAATTCCACCGAAGTCTGCTATGGAGCCTGCAGTATCTGCTCCCTCTTCAATTGACCCATCTACCCTTGTCTCCAAGGGTTATGCACGTGGACGAAAACCCTCTATGAGACGCTTTCTCTGCACTCATTGCAACGAGTCGGACCATACTATTGATCGTTGCTGGGATCTTCACGGTCGCCCTCATCGCTCTGCTCATTTTGCTCAGAGTGTTGCTCCTGCCTCGGACTCTGCTTTGATTGCTGGACCACAGCCACCTCCGTCTGTTCTCACTGACTTCTTGCAATGGTATGAAAGGAAGCGTCCTCCTGGTACCACTGCCTCTGGTGCATACACGGGTAATTCCTTTGCTGGTGTTTCTCACTCACCCTCTCTTGGTCCATGGCTTCTCGATTCTGGTGCATCTGACCATATTTCTAGTAATAAGTCTTTATTCACCTCTCTCTGTATGTCTGGTCCCCTACCCAGTATCACTATGGCTAATGGGTCACTGCTTCCGTTCCAAGGGATTGGCACTGTTCTCCTTTTTCCTTCTATTCCCATTAAGAATGTGCTTTATGTTCCTAATTCTTCTTTCAACCTTATTTCCATTAGTCGCTTGACTCAATCCCTTGACTATATTATTTCTTTCACTAAAGAGTCTGTCATTTTGCAGGATCGGAGCTCGAGGAGGACACTTGGCGTCGGATCTGAGTCTCATGGCCTTTATCAGCTTTCGACTTTTGTCCCAGTGTGCTCTGTTGTGGATTCTTCGCTTACTATCCACGCTCAGTTGGGTCATCCAAGTCTTGCTAAGCTTCAGAAGATGGTCCCACGTTTCTCTAATTTATCTAGTTTGTCTTGTGAGTCATGTCAGTTAGGGAAGCACACTCGTAGTTCGTTTCCCGATCGTGTCAGTCGTCGGTCTTCGTCTCCTTTTGCTTTAGTTCATTCATATATTTGGGGTCCTAGTCGTACCCTTTCCACTATGGGGTACAGATATTTAGTAACTTTCATTGATGATTTTTCTCGATGTACTTGGTTATTTTTAATGAAAAATCGGTCTGAATTGTTTTCTATTTTCAACAAATTCTTTAATGAAATCCTTACTCAATTTGGTGTTTCGATTCGCATTTTTCGAAGTGATAATGCTCGTGAATATTTGTCTCATCAGTTTCAAACCTTCTTTGCATCTCACGACATCCTTCACCAGACATCATGTTCACACACCCCTCAACAAAATAGGGTTGCTGAACGCAAGAACTGTCATCTAATTGAAACTACTCGGACACTTTTGTTACATGGTCATATCCCCTTCCAGTATTGGGGTGATACTGTCCTCACAGCTTGTTATCTCATTAACCGCATGCCTTCCTCTGTACTTAATAACCAGGTACCACATTCTGTGTTGTTTCCCCATCAACCTTTGTACCCACTCACTCCTCACAATATTGGTTCCACTTGTTTTGTCCATAATCTCAATCCTGGTCTTGACAAGTTATCTTCTAAGTCACATAAATGTATTTTCCTGGGTTACCCTCGCTCACAAAAGGGTTATCATTGTTACTCTCCCAGTCTTCGTCGTTACTTTGTCTCGGCGGATGTTATATTCTTTGAGTCTATCCCATTCTTTGACTCCTCCTCTTTTCCCAGTGATTATGTTGCCACTTAGCTACCTTTACCCCCTGTTTCAGTTCAATATATACCTTCCCCATCTCCTTCTTTAGATGTCCCCGTCCTTGTTCCCGCCCATGTTCCCCCCCTCCAGGTCTATCATCGTCGGCAACGTCCACCTGTTCCCCAGGACCCTGCCCCCCAAGACCCTGCCCCTATTGTTACTGAGGCTCCTGTGGACTCACTTTCGTCATCATCTCCTCCGACAGCTCCGATCCTTCCGTCTGACATTGATGTACCCATTGCACTCCGGAAAGGTACTCGTGATTCTCGTCCCCCTCCCAGGTATTTAATAAATTTGAGTTATCATCGTCTTTCACCATCCCATTTTGCTTGTCTCTCTTCTCTTTCTTTTGTATCTGTTCCTAAGACTACAGGTGAGGCGTTATCACATTCTGGATGGCGACAGGCTATGATTGATGAGATGAGTGCACTTCAGAGCAGTGGTACCTGGGATCTGGTTCCCCTTCCCTCTGGAAAGACTGTTGTTGGCTGCCGATGGATATACACGGTCAAAGTTGGTCCTGATGGTCAGGTGGACCGTCTCAAGGCTCGCTTGGTGGCTAAAGGTTATACTCAGGTATTTGGCCTTGACTATGGTGACACATTTTCTCCCATGGCGAAAATGACTTATGTTCGCCTCTTTATTACTATGTAGCCATTCATCACTGGCCTATGTATCAGCTGGACATAAAGAATGCTTTCCTCCATGGTGATCTGCGGGAAGAGGTTTATATGGAGCAACCTCCTGGGTTTATTGCTCAGGGGGAGTCTAACCTAGTTTGTCGTCTCTGAAAATCCTTGTATGGTCTCAAGTAGTCTCCCCGGGCTTGGTTTGGAAGGTTTAGCACTGTTGTATAACAGTTTGGCATAACTCGAAGTGAGGCTGATCACTCAGTCTTTTATAGACATTCTGATTCAGGTACTATTTATTTGGTAGTATATGTTGATGATATCGTCATTACAGGTAATGATACTCATGGCATAACTCAGATAAAACAATATTTGTGCCATTATTTTCAAACAAAGGACCTTAGAAGACTCCGATATTTCTTAGGGATAGAAGTGGCCCAATCGAAAGATGGCATTGTACTATCACAGAGAAAATATGTTATGGCTATTCTTGAGGAGATAGCACTGTTGAATGCTAAGCCCGTCGATACTCCTATGGATCCAAATGTCAAGCTTTTGCCAAATCAGGGGGAGCTATTTTCTAATTTAGAAAGGTATAGAAGATTGGTTGGGAAACTGAACTATCTCACAGTTACTCGACTAGACATTTCCTTTGCAGTCAGTGTAGTAAGTCAGTTCTTGAATTCTCCCTGTGAAGATCACTGGAATGCAGTAATCTGTATCCTCAAGTACATCAAGACTGCTCCTGGCAAAGGTCTTCTCTATGAAAACAAAGGTCATACCAGAGTTGTAGGATACTCAGATGCTGATTGGGCAGGTTCTCCTATTGATAGGAGATCCATTTCTGGGTATTGTGTATTCGTTGGAGATAACTTGATTTCCTGGAGAAGTAAGAAGCAAAGTGTAGT